TGAATATTTTTATATAAAAAACTCTTAATAAAAAGATTAAAACTCAAGAGTCTACATTACATGAGTATATATTGTTAAGATAACTGAGCAACAACTTGTTCTTGCTCAAGTTCATTAATGAATTGCACTACTCTGTGCTAAAACTTCTACATATTAGCAGCATCATATCCCGCCGTTTCTAAACTGTCCTTATAGCAGGTATACCATACGCAGCTTTCTTTAAAGAGATGCTAATAAGGTACCTCCTGGTAAACATAGTCAAGTGCATTACACATACAACTTTCTGCATCAGGTATTGTAACACAACTTAAAACCAGATGCAAAGCCAGTCAAATACTTCTACGAAGTACTAATTCTAATGACTCTTCACAGCCTGTTCAGATACTAAAACTTGCTTATGTCCCTATGTTTTACCTCCTTCAGTTGGTGCTAACTTTGAATGAATATTCCAGCTTTTCCCAAAGTTAATTTCATTCGGCATTTTCCAACTCACAACTATGACCACAAATGCATTTGTGCACACACTGGTTGTTTTTTTTACTTTCTCATCCAACTTCACATGAGTAAGAATTTTTACAAAAGATGAACAAAATTACAAGCTTTACAGAAAAGCAAAAGGAAATACTAGTGTCTATAAAATACTTAAAACACACATACTTTGTTCCAGCAGCAGTCCTCTATACAGACAGCATATATATTAACCGTAAGTAGATTTAACATGGATGTGTGGTCAAACGAGTTGCTTGCCACTTGTGGCCGTCTAGTGCTTCCACTGGGGCCCTTCAGATTTGAGTGGTCCTTTGCACAGCAGCTACTCCACAGTGTAACAGCCTAGCATGCAGTTGCCTGCTTCTGCTGTCATCAGCTATCACGGAGAAAGGCAGGATTTGGAATCGGCATAAGGAAACGTTGGAGCACTTTCAGCAAACAGAGAATGGGACTGTGAATTCCAGTGGACAAGCAAGAAAGTCAACCTGAGGCTTGATGCTTCCCTAAGAGCAACAGCAGCTGCTCTGGGACAGCTGCAGTCCAAAACTTCAGTATTCGTCAACCATACAAGGTAAAGGTCAAAACATTTTCCATTTCTCCTGATCAACATGAACCATCCTATCTCCATCCATTATTGTGCCCTAAGACTTATATCAACAAGTATCAAAGTTATGGTCACAGGTATTGCTATTCATGCTATCTATATGTAATGTAACCCCAACCATCTCTTCTGTAAAATTTAGTAGCTCAATCTAGTGGTTAAGTAAGCCGTGTCTAAGTGCTGTTTTGCCTGCTAAGGTTTCTAACATTACAACAATCCGTGGTGCAAAGGAAAGCCCCACCAATACAGTATGCTCAATTTGAATTTATACAGTAATGCACATAAATTCATCCTTTTCTCATTCCAGCACTGTATATATTTACTGCTACACATTTAATTTTGCCTGCATTTTCAAACATCTTTGCATTTTGGTATGCTTTAAATATGTTTGTATTTTTACTTTTTTTTTGGCTGCTGTAATATTCAGATCTATTCAAGAAATCAACGTAAGTAGCATGAATGGGAGCAGTGCAATGAGCAATATATATCTATATAGTTTTCCTTTAGAAGAAAATACCCACTAATGCTGTGTTTAAAATCGTTCCTATTTAGAAAAGTAAAAACAGCAGTCCATTGGAAAAAAAACAACAAAATCTACAAACTAGGTGTTCCTATACGTGATGATGAGGAACCAAAGCTTTGAAGGTCTCAGTGCTTCTTTATTCACCAAGGAATATTAGCTAGCTTCTGTCCAAGAATCTCAATGCGCCAAATCAGTCTGACTGACACTCAGAGCTCTCGAGTCTGTCAGACAATTATTTCGTTCCTGTGTGAAGGGGAAAACAAACAAACAAACAAATTAAGCAAATGTACAGAGAGTTCAAGCAAATAAACAAAATTACTCGTTTTAACAAACAGGAACAAACAAATATAAGGAATTATGGAGAACTGGCCTTGTTCACATTGGGTAGGGGGACACTCTTCCATATTCTAATAAACATCTTTTTCCCCAACTTTCAACTAGCAAAACTGAAAAGATCTACTGATATGTATACACACACCCTTTACAATCCTGACCCAAGTCTTACCAGAAATGCAAGAGCCCATCTATGGGAATTGCCATGAGTGTCTATAGTGGGTGAACTAAAAAAGCTCACAAGAAGTGAGAACTAATTTTAATATCGCAGTGTACATACAAACGATAAATTACTCTTCTGGAAGTCACATCAATTATATACTAAGGATCCAGTTTAGGGGCACCTAAGGCATGACATTTTGAAACCTTGGCACTGTTGCTGCAAAGAATTATGCTTTATCCTTGATTTTTTTTTTGGCTGAAGTTCACCCTAAGCAAAGTTTTGCACACATTTCACACCACAGAAAACTCTGCAGTACGTTCATTAGAGATAATATAGTTAAGACACCTTTATGCCACTCAACAGTAAAATGAGAGCCATATAGTTTGGGCTTTCTTGTTACAGCAGGACAAATAGTGAAGATCCTCACATACAGTTTTATTAGTAGAGAAGCAATTTTATCTTCCTAAAATTAGTTGCAGTTACTGTGTTAGTAAAATGCACAACAGTGTTTAGAACGCAGAACATCACTAGCTTATTTGACAATATAAGAAACAGTGACTTAATTAGGTAAAAACACGAAATGGGAAGTAGCAATTGGGCACACCATATACAGTTAAGCAAAATAAGGTTTTATATTAGCAGAAGCATAACATAGATCAGACAACCTTTTAGAGACTGCTCCTGTACAACCTCAGAAACAACTGAAGTCGCATTTAAGGGAATCTGAAAATGTACAGCAATTAAGATGATTGGGCCCCTAGCAATAAAGGGGCTGATGTAATAAATACTTAGTAACGGAGCTTTAAAAGTTCTTGTTTTTTTAATTACAAGAATGTAAGCATCCAGAAGTTTCACATCCACTGGAACAGTTAGAAGGTCCAAAGCCAGAGACTGCTTGGTATCATAAAAGCCAATGCTCTTTACCGGTTGGACGTAAGCACTTGCTTAAAATTAAGCATAATTCACAAAAGTGTTACGGAACGATGCCTTAAGCATACGCTTTAAACACCTTACTGAATTAGGATCTTACCAATCACGAGGAGTTTGTTGTTTTATTATTTATCATACTCTTTTTATCCCTACTAATGATATCTATTTTTGTAAGAGTATTGTAGGGCTTCTTACTTGAAAATGATCTTCAGTAGCCTTGCCACCCATGTTAAGAACATTCAGAGAACTGGCACGCTTCATGCTGCAACCAGGACAGTGAACATGCAAGGATAAACCAATCAGAATAGCTGGAAACTAACAGCTCTAAAAACACAAGTATAACAACGAGCAATGAACAGTTAAGGGAGTTTGAACAATGCCCCGAAACTGCTCTGAGGCATACCCTTTAAGATAACTACATAACTTAGAATATGTTTATATTCGGTTCTAAATTACATATAAAACCAAAAAAAATACAAGCTCCTCAGAGCTTAAACATTTCAGGCAACTGATTTAGTTTCAACTCAAAATCTCAATTTTTAAAGCACATCAAATTAATACACTTGACTTAGCGCTGATTTTTAATTAGCTAATTCTCAGTTTCAATTTTATGCAGCTTCTTACAAAAGCATCAAAACATTCAGTTAGTTTAGGAAAAAAAAGTGAAACATGAATAAGCTTGTGACATCGGCAGCATTTAACTTGGAAAAGCTACAACAAACATTAGTACTTTCTGCCTCATCTAGGTAAGTCTGCAGAATCTATTTCAAAAGGCATTTTGAAATCTTTTATTTTAAACATTTCAAAGTGAACGGAAATAAGATGGTTGCTGCTATAACTTTGGTTATGCTTTTGGCTCTACAATACTCTGAGCAGTCGTAACAACAACCCTAGAATACAGTACTGAAAGCAACAGATGAGAAAAAAAAATTAATCACCCACGCAGGAGCTACTGACAGTCGAAGTATCACCGCATTAACTGTAATATCTACTGGTGTTTGAGATGAGGACCAATAATTTATCTGCATTTCTCAAACACATACAAAATTTAACAAAAATATTTTAAAGTGTGTATACTGAAATTCAAGATTAGCCTTAAGCTTCCTATCATCATGGTGACTACAACAGGAATGTCTGATGTTCTTTATCCCAAAGTGTCTGTCCATTACTCAGAATGTATTAGGTGTGCCTTGATTTTTCACTATTTTTTTTCCTCTTTAATAATTTCAAAACTACTAAATGAGTACTTTGAATATATATTTGATGAACTATTCACAGCATGAGACCCTAATCCTGCAATGCCACCTACAGCTTTAGAGACAACTGGCTGATGCAAAGTTCCCAATGCCTTCCAATAACACGGAAAGGTTTATCCATACAGATCACATTAGGTATTAAACAGTTTTTCTTTCTACTGAAGCAAGACTACTAACAGTCAAAGTCAAGCACAAGTTTTAAATGCTTTCATAAAGCAAAGGCTTAGAAGAATAATAACCAAAACACTAACAAACACAGACAACAGCTGCCACATAACACAAGCTTACTGTTTTTTCCTAGCATTAAATCTGCATGTTTCAAAAGCTAGAATGCACACAATTTAAAATATTTGACATGAGTGTTAGCAACAACAAAGCAAGGACTCATGCATGGTATACACCTCATTTATTCAAGGAAACATGTACAACAGAGGTTATATATGGAAGTCAGAGTAAGTTAATCTGTAAAACACAAACAAAACATTACATAAAACTCTCAAAAAGAACATAAAGGTTTATGGAAAACATTCCAGGGAAATAGAAAATCCACGAGTAAAAATTTACCCAAGTATTTTTAGGTTCTTGTTGAAGAGCCAATTAAAAAAAAAAAAACCTTGTAATCATGCATGAGATACTAGTTTGTGGGGGGTTTCGGTGGTGGGTTGTTTTTTTTTTTTGGGGGGGGAGGGGTTGGTTTTTTGTTTGGTTGGTTTTTTTTAAGTCAACATACTTAAGAACTTTAGTCTAGCAAACGCGCTTTTAATTCTCTCCATGTTAGAAACATGATTGCACAAATAGCGTGCAGTTGTTTTTCTGTTGCATAAGTAATAGCAATAATGAAAGCTTTGGGTTTTTTTCCCCTTTTAAATTAGAAATATTAACTGTTCTGCAGTATGATCAAAATTTTAAAAGAGGAAAATCAAACCTAACACTAGCGAAGTTGAATTATTGCAGAACTGAATTCTGAAATATGATAAAAAAAGAAAGAAGTGGTATCATGCTTCAGGTATTGTATGTTTCAAAGAACAGTTCTTAAGAGATTTGTTCTTTGTCAGAAAGGCTTTTGCATGATTTTAAAGAAACAATTTTGCTGACGAGTTTTCCACTTCTTTCTCTTCAACCTTCTGTATCAAGCAACAACATGAAAACTAAGTCTTTCTTTCACACTGGGATATTAGTGTATTTCTATTTGAGTATTCCTCATTCAGAATCATACCAGCACTGTCAATTACTATTTACAGAAGCACAGTATAAGCAACAGGTGTAAATCAATTTCAAAATAAAGTCTTCATAGAGACATAGGCAGGGGATGCAGAGGTGTACAGGTAAGGAGGGAGGCACATGAGTCTTCTACCTAGAGTGGCTGACTTCATAGCAAAAATTATTTATATGTATGGTATGTCAGTATTGTAATATTCAGCTATCAAACACACTAAAAAACAGAGGTTTGCATAATAAAAACTGAATATCCCTGTTATTAAGCTCAGAAGCAGAAAAAATTTATTTACTAAAGTTTCTTCAGAAAATGAAATCAAAATGACTTCTTGGAATATCAATACGTACAGCTATGCTTCATGATCTACAAAGCTAGTGTTTAATACCAGGAATCTTAGCTGGTTTTAATAACAAATGCAAATATAAATTAGGATTAAAAGATGTCTATATCTTACAAGAACAGAAATTAAAGTATTTATTGTATCAACGTGTGTATCTACATAAAAGCCTGTCAATGTAATACATTTATTGCAAGTTTTAAGAATAAGTTACTCTTTGAGAACAGTAGTGACATCTAAAAAACAAGAATACTTTGTCAAAAGGGGAAAGCAAGAAAGATACTGCTTTGTTTTCAAATTTGTTTCACATTAATGTCTTTATTTGAAGAAATCTTATTTGGTGATACGGACCCCACAATATAATTAATATTAATGCGGGTAGATTACTTATACGTTAGTCAAATAACACTACCAAAGTGCAGACAATAAAAAGGTAGAGGAGTTCTTACAGGACATTGCAAAGCCAAATGTCTTCAGTTATACGTAAGAATAATTTTCTACACCTATAATCACGGACTTACTTTACCTGCAGAAAAAGTTAGCTCTATTTACTACAGAGAACAAGGAATAAAGCTCTTGGCTTTTAAGAAACTGAAAATTTTTCCATGTCTCACAAAAATGAGGAGAAAATGCAAAATTAGCTATGGATATATGCATCTATTCATACAAGAATATACCTGAACTATGACGTATGAACTCTAGACAGAACTGAATAGAAACAGAAAACCAATGTATAAAATGCTAATATTGAAGACAAAAAAGGAAATCCCTTTTATTCTATTTTGGCTTGCCTTTGCTTGTTTTCCCTAAAGCATTTTACATTTACATATTTCCTGCTTCTAATTACATGTTTTTCACAGTTTATTCCCAATCTATCATCTCAGAGGCAGTTCTTAATGATGTATCAATAAATGCAAAGGCGTTTTTGACCTAGAATTTGATTCAGTGCCTTCAACATCAAGTCTCTGGCAGCTGAGAGTGAAATTTTAATTAACAATTCTAAAAATCAGATCAGGCTAAATTTGAGAGAGATGTGAGGAAGAGAACTCTATGTGCACTATAGCTGTACACAATGTTTTACAGCCACATAAGAACAATAAGGCAAAACTTCATTGGAGCCCTTACAAAATCACACTGAGACCCTGCCTCCAGATCACTGTCTCAGGTATTACCATCATCATCATCTACTATATTACTCATAGATCTACTATATTACTCATCAGAAGTTAATCCAAGTTCTCTAATTTAACTGTTTTAAAGCCTAAGTTCAAATTCACATTGTCATACAGTTTCCTGTCGACTAAATGAGTTCCAGTTTTCCACAGCAAGGGGAAAAAACCCTGCAAAACTAATTGCAATTATGTTGGGGGTGAGGGGCAACACCCATGAGTGCTATTATGAAAAACAGTAGTAGTAGTACATTTTAACATATCAACTTTTCTGCAGCAGCCAATAGATGATATATGTTTTTATGCATTTATTAGAAATATTACATACATCCAAATCCATAATCATATGGTAAACAGGGAAGAGTGAGAAGTCAGATTCATTAAAATTTGAATTTTTACCACTGACCACTGAGGCCAAAATGTTAATGAGATGCACAACTAGGTTCAAGTTTTCCAGTATTTTCCTCTGCTCTCTGAAATCTGGGTTTTCCAAAAATAGAAACTGAGAAGGGCTCAAGTCAGTAATTCTCTTTATACCCACAGCAATATATAAAGCTATATCAAGAATATATGTAGATATTACGCTATATCAAGAATGTTAGTTGTGGGTTTACTGTATTCAAACTTTTATTGTAAAAATCAGTAACATTTATTATTCTTCACTGCTGTGTGAAAATGAGTTTTGCAGGTAACTAACATTTACCAATAATTCTATGAGGCTTATCTATTCTTCAAGTGGCTGAAGCAGTAAAAAGGGAAAAAAACACTCTTAAAATTGAGATAACTCTTAAAAGCAAATATACTTCCTCAGATGTTTCAGAACTTTCATTATAATTTTAAGAAACTATTTCCTATTTTATTTTTCTTTAAGATATAGATTTATACAACATGCACTTAGCTAAGCAGAGAAGAAAACACTGCCCTAGGTACTGCACTAAACTGCAGTGGGGGCACAGAACGAGGGCGTACCAGCACAGCTAAGAATAGATAATTACCCTGGATTCTTTGGTTCACTGTCTCGTGAACTTCCTCCCTTCAGCTTTCTAACCAGCTTCTCACTGCTGCGTCTAATGGAAGCGCGAAGTTTGCTAAAGGAACCACTGCGTTTTAAAGATCCAGTGCCATCCTGAAAAAAATTGAACAAATGTAAAAGTGCAAGAGTTTGTCGCCCTCCCCCAAACCTGGCTCAAAAACATTTCATTGATGAGAATTTTTTTTTAAATTGCTATTAATATATCCTTGGTACAATTCCTAAACACAGAATGTCATATAGCTATAACTTTACCAAAACAAAAGGGTTCCTTCCAAACTGTAACAGAGATTTTTAAAATGTGAAGACATGCTCAAGCCATGATTCATAGTAATTTATAAAACCCCACCACAGTAGTCAAACAATTCACCATCACCATGTTACCATTTCGTATGAGCGCACTGTCGTTAACAGAGTACAAGCCCCAAGCAAAAGCATTCCATCAGAGTCTAAGAAAAAAACTGTTTTATTTTTCCTAAACATCTACATTGCAAACATGTTTGTTTAATCCTAAAATCCTTAAACAAAAGTATTTCTGATCAGAAACATGTATGGTTAAATTCCTATGCTTCATTTTAACTTTCACCAAAGAAGATGTAAAACATGATGAAATGAATTTTTTGTACATTGCATTCATGTTCTACACTGCTGTGCTGATCCAAAGAAACTTACAACTGACCACAATTCTATTTTTAAACGTTTTACTCTTAAAAAAAAAAACCAAACCCAACAGTTTAGTAAGATTAGAACTGACCACTTCCTATTCCACAGAAATCCTACGTGATTATGAAAGAAGAATTGTAAAAGAAGAAAGTAAAGTACTACTAAGCAGACAAAGACAGACACCTGAGTTGGAGTGAGTTTATTAGAAGTTAGAAAGACAAATACACAAATCACTGAACACCAAGATTAGTAGAGAAAAGCATAATTGCCAAAATCTCACACAAAGACTAAACAGCAATGCTACTTTAGAATAATAGTAAGTGAAGACATCCAGAGTTCCATATTGATGTTAACCATGTAATAGGTCTCTAAATACATTTTAAAGCACTTGGAGAACATGCCTTACTGTTACGGGTTTTGTTTTGTTTTTCTCCTGTAAAGATCACCATCATGCCATTTCAATAATACCTTGTGCGATACTTTTAACTATCTTTTTTCCATAGTGAACAGCTACTTATAAAGTTCATTGTTACTTTTTTTTTTTTTAAACTAGTGTATTACACAGCAATGGTTGTAATAACATTTGTATGACTAGATACATATCTGGCAAAGCTACACATGTACAGAAATAGAAAAACCAAAAAAGACACCAGCACTGAAGGAATGGCCAGTTTACAGGGAAGTGTAGCTCTGACAAGAATCTTAAGGGGTTTGCTAAAACACAGCAGTCAGTACTGAAGAGAGAAGTTAAAGCTTGAAGATGGTGCACGCCCGTCATGCAGGAGACAGTATAAGAATCACAAAAGGCATCTAGGCCTGTCAGAAATGGAGAGAGAAAAACTGAATGAAACTGTTGGGAAAAATTCAACAGTTTTCAATTTTGAACAGTTATTTTTACAGTATTTCTAGGTCACATTCAAAACAATTTTTTCCAGAGTAAATATTTGGACTGCCCTTACGTACAAAGTGCAGGCCCTTGCAGTTACCAGAACATACATCTTTATACAGTTTTGCCTATATCACTCATATGCTGTGCATTCTTTAAGTTAGCATTTGTATAAAATACAAAACACCTTTAAGAAGGGATAGCTTTAGTATTACATTTTGTAAACAAAGAAAGGATTTTTTTTTTTTCAGCTGACATTAACACAAAAATAAAAATAAAAAAAGAAAAACAGAAGAAAGGAACAGAACAAGGTGCATTCATTTCAGCTTTAACTTCTGTCAGGAATTTTTCTTGAAACAAAACTGCAAGAAGAAAGAAGTCTTCCCCTAACCTCCAGACAAAATTCTGTTCATTCCTTTAAGGAATTAGAATCCAACTGACCTCACGAGTATTTTTTTAGAACATATCTGTGTGTATATATATCATCCAAGTGGAAACTTCTGTACTTTCCCTAATGCAGTGAGGCAGCTGAAAGAATCCACCTTTGAATATATGCTGTGGTTCAATTTACATGCTTTCCATTCTCAGTGTTAAGTACAGAAACCATTACTGATAGTCTTAAGGTAACAGTTTTGAGAGCCTTTACCTGTATCAACTGGAATGAACAGTAATTAACATTATTCTTGCAAATAGCAAAATGCCTTGCTACCAAGTGATTAGAAGATCAAAATCTAACCAAGTATTTGTGTTTCAAACTAAATTGCATATATTGTTCACACTTTTGAAAAATAGACTTCAGCTTTGCAGGATTGAATAAATTGAAGTCTAAATTCCAATTAGAAGTATTAGATCAGTGAAAAGGCTAATTATTCCTCTGGTCTTAAACCAGTGATGCTATAGTAGTGATAATGATCCAATGAACAAAGGCAAGACAAATTTGGTAGATATAGAGTATAACCTTTATTATTTTAACTAGCACATTAGGAATAAGCAGACAAGCTTTTGGGTACTTCAAATCTGAAATAAAGACATTGAACTTCCAAGTTAAACACTGACTGCATGATTAACAAAACACCTTTAAAACATGAGCTTAGGATAAAAAAAGATTTCCTAAATCCAGTGTAAACAAACAAACAATTAAAAAAATCAGAGATATCCATTTCTACGGCAAAGATTAATTGCCAGTTTTTATGTCACTCAGAAGGAGAATCACCTTATTACTTTTGCTTACACCTCCCCACCATCATCATCTCCTGTACTTTGTAGTTGTCTGCTACAATGCTGCTCTGACTGTCTGACACTTTTTATTAAACAAGAGCAACTCTTACCAGCTAGTCTATGGTAGTGAAAGTTATTGCTTTTGTTTCACACCTGAAAGTGGACCGATGTGCCCAAAAGCTTGTCTTTTTGAAGCATATGGTTTAGAATAATAAAAGATACTTCCTCACACAAAAAACATTGTCTTAAATTAAACACTATCATACCACAAAGATTTTTATCTGTCCTCCAACTGGCTGCAAGATCAATTTACAAAAATGCCAATTACAGATACCGACTGACATTTTTAATATACAAACATAGTGAGGGATAAAAATCTTGGGATTTCTACGTTGAATTTCTTTGCATTTTCAAGTATCTTCAGTTAACTTTAAGGGATGGACTTTACATGAAACACGTAAACATGCACTACACAACCTCACTTAGCATGTTCATTTTAATAGTTAATGACAGATTTACTTCCAACAGATACTTCAGTCCTTTTTGTAAGATATACATCAAAGCATACAATGCTTAATAGTGATTACACTTCATATGGAAGTCACTTCATTACAATAAATCTTCCAACATAATTTTTTCGTTGAAGTTTGTTGCTTTATACACACCACCTCTTCTCTGACACCCAAGAACATGAGTCAGCTTGACCACTTCAGAAGAATTTAAAGGGAAAATGCAGGCCTCTCTTCAGGCTCTGCACACAGAAGTATCTGCCTGATTAAAAAATTCTACTATACTTTATGAATCAGAATATTTTGTCTGGAGGGAACACACGAGGGTTAAAAAAAAAAATACACAATATAAAGTAGAGGGAAGAACAGCACTGAGATAGAAACACTAGCAGGGTAGAGGGAGAGAGAGTTGCCCACTTTACGTAAAAGATGTAATACAAAATACCTTCTCTTAAGAGGGGAAAAAAAGAAATAACAAAGATGAGAATAAAGCAATGCCACTTCAGCACACTAAAAATGAAAAGTTTGTTTGCCTTGACAGGTCAAAATTTAGTTTTTCAGATCAACAAATTTTATCACTGATTTTGATTCAAATATTGACCTAGAAATACTGTCTCTTGCTTTTCCAGAAGGCCTTTTCAATCCAAAACCTGCATGCTTGTTTAATTAATGTCAATAAGAGAAAAAAGTTTAATCCATTTAGAACATACAGTCATGCAAAGTACAGTGAAAATTAAGGGAAGAGTACAGTACACAGTTCTAACACTGAATGGGCAAAATGAGAATTAAAAAAAAGAGTTATCCAACCTTACTTTGGCTTTATTAATGATGCAGTATTATTCACAATAGATGCTGATTGACTGTCTTGGCACTGAGAACACCAATGCCAAGAAAACAATAATAAAGAGACAAAAGCAAAGATGGAAAGAACATGCTCCTTTAAGACTAAAGCAGTATGTATTTTATCAAGGTTTCTTTGGAATGCTAAACTTTGTCTCGTGGCTAAAAAAAAGAAGAAAAAAGATACCTACTGTAAGACAAATGAAACTTCAGAACACTCAGTATTGCAAAGTAGGCTACTTCCCCTCCCATACAAAAGCAGGCAACAGCACTTTTATAATCTAACAGAATATTTTCAGCAGAACTGCAGCTGGGAGTTAGTGCAATATATATCCCATTGCCAGCAATGGGATAAAGCATGGGAAAGCTGGTGACAGAAGCAAACAACTACATAAGCCAGATCAATAACTGAAAGCTTCCACTGTCTTTCAAATAAAGGAAAACAATGGTTAGAAAAATGCATATATAATCACATTATATGTAAGTTTTTACCTGATGACAATCAGTGTTATACAGTGAAGCCAATATATGGGAAACAAATAGGAACCAGCCCTGACTCCAGTCAAATTCTAATACGGGAAAGTGATACTAATATTCCACTTAAGAAACGTGAAGTTACTATCACATTGTTATGTGATGGCACTGCCTCTTAAAATGGATTATATAGCAGCTTGAAAAGTTATGTTCTTTCCTCTAAGAAGCTGGGTAAGGAGGAGATTGGAATTATTTTAGTGTTAGACTGATCACTATTTTACTCTAAAACTGCTAACGCTTAATACATCTCCATAGCAAATGCTCTTTGCTAAAAACACAGATGTGGTATTTTTAAAGAAACATTTGAAATACGGGCAAATACGGCATCAAAAGGACAAAAGCAAAATTAAGTTAATTGCCAGAATATTTCCACCAGTAAAAAGAAACCACTGACAAGCAATTGTACACCAGATCATAACCAGGACACTCAATCAGCATTAAACAACTTAAATACAACTGCTTGGGATTCTTGAAGAAATTTCACCATTCAGGACAACAACAGAAGGGTTGTTTTAAAATTTTAAAATATTACAATTTTTTTACATGATGTTATGAAAAAACAAAACGTTACTTTTCATTTCTTAATTGATTCTGCAAAATTACAAAATACAAAGTAAGTAGATCAACCAAGAAACTACTGAAAACATGATAGGCTGGTGAATGGACAACCATATTTGTTATGGTGATAATTTATCTAGGCTATTTTCTTAAACTGTGTACTGTACTTACCCCATTCCATTCTACGCTCATACTCACTTCCTCGCCTCCATCAGGACCACTCTCGTACTTTACCACATCAACATTGAGGCTTTCTCGGCTTCGTCTTTTTTCTATGCTCTCAGGGTCATTCAGTACTTCAGCAACTCTCTGTTTATGAACATTGTCAAGACCCTGAGAATTAGGTAAGATAGGAAAAGGTTTTATTTTATTACAAGCTGTATTAATCTACAACTTACACCCAAAAACCATATCAAGAAAGAAGTCAATCAAACCCATAACTCCCTTACCCTGATTCTGCCTTCAAAGGGCAGTCGAGTTGCCTTTTAAACATTGCAGCAATCAACACAGCATGAAGTGGACAGACAGTCTGGTAGTTTGAGAATTCAGTGACTTGCCATTCTTTTCCTCCTTCCCTATCACTTGTCAAGGCCTCATGGTGTTCACTTACCTGAAGCCATTTGGCCACCAGCTTAATACTTAAGCAATTTATAGATCATGAACAGTCAATGCAATTCTCAGTTTTCCACCTATCAAATGGTGCAGTATTCACCCGCCTTCGGAAAGAACATTGCAGATGTCTGAATATCTAATACCCAAGACACAGGTTGTGTTATTCAAAAATACTGACATACAACAGTTGGCATAGTAGTGTAATTTATCCTTCAGAAAGAAATCAAATAGAAAATAAGCTTGTAATAGAACAGACTAGATATATGGTCAATAAAATATGTTTACTTTGTGTTAAAGAATGCCCATCAATTACCAAATAATCCTTTAAATATCTTAAAAGTGCTAAAATACTTTCTATGAAAACCCTGCACTAAAAATAAAGGCAAAATCTTTAACACAGAAACTAGAAAGTAACAAAGCTCAAATCATACTTATTTTCAGTTTTGTTTTCTTTATAATAAACCTACTCCACATCATAAACGGTATTTGCTGACAGGAAGAGATCCCAGATGAATGCCTTACACATAAGAAAATATTCTGCATCTGTGCAGCGTCAGCAGCAAATGCAGTAGGGGATCTGTGTGACAAATCCATAAAGTCTACCACAATACAGAAAGTGAAAATCATGCCAAAATTCTACTTAAAAGTAAAGTGCATGAATAAGAATGAAAATTGTTTTAGCATCATGGAGAAATCAGGTTCTTGGTTCCCACATAGCTGCTTTCCACTAACTGAAGAGCAGAACAGACCTCCCTAATAGAATTCTACACACAAGGAAGCACGAAACCAACATATATTTTCACTTCCACATAGCTGTATGGTGCAGAAAAGTGGCTAGAGCTCTCAGACAGTAGAGAAGTGTAGACTCAAAATGGCTTTTGCAACCAAACCCTTTAGCAGCACAGAACACAAAAAGCATAAAATTATTTAAAATCACCACTGAGGAGGTGATGTACCACAAACAACCTCTAGGCTCTGTTCCAAAGCTATTGCCTCTCATTTACCTCACGTGTTAAAAAATACAATGAAGGAACAGGGAACTGCACTTTCTGGGTTTGTTCAATTCTGTCATGAAAGATGAAGGACAAAGAACTTCACTGGTCTTCAAAAATCTAGCATATACATCCCAGCAGCTAAAGCAAACAAAAGATGTGTGAAGGAGAACAGAGCTGTAGAGGACTGATGCTTTTCCATACCTGGGAACAAAAGTACCTCTTTGCTTTTAGCTCAAAAGGGGACATGCATTAACCCTGTCTGTCCTCCTTTACTTTAATGACCTAGAATAGAAAGGTAGTGTTAAACGCTGCTAGTAAGACAGCACTGTTTCCTACATGTCCAAATCTAGTGCTGTAGGTAATGTGATATATTATGGTATAATGGTATAGGTGGTATATGATGCACCAATGAAAACCTGAAGCATACTTAATAAAAATAAAGTAGCAGCAGCAAGCCTCCAGCAGGCTCTATGGAAAATGAAGACATGGAACAATTTTTCCAGTGGTACTGGCAAGCCAAAAGTGGGCTGATTAAACAGGGACTCTAAAACAGACTTCTCCAATAGCAAGATCCTCACATCCTTAATTCCCAAATAATCAATTCCAAGCTTCACAGTAAAAATTTGAACTTTGAAAGTTGGTGTTCTGTTTTATTTTTTTAATATAAAATAAGGAAACAAACATAACTACAAGCTAAGTTTTCTTCCAGTCATCTTATTACTATTATATTAAGCCAATTTATCCTGGTTGTATCTGCTCACACTAAAAAAATTATCATGTGTAATGGCAACAGTAAAACTAAGAACCAAAGCATGTTAAGATGCAATGCATGTTCATTTCTTATCTTCAAATCACATTTGAATGACAGACACACTAAAAACAAACCTTCAGCAGAAGTATGTGAAAATCATCCTCAATAGAAGAAAGTATCTCTATCAGCTGTTTCCCCCCCAACCCATGAATTTTCCTTGCTGAAGAACTTTTCTCCCAGATTCACAGTTTCCTCTTACCAGTTTCATTCCCTTTATTTGGCAAACACTCGCAAGTTTTCCATCATTTTTTGTGGAAGAAAGAACTTATACCACCTTATATCAAAGGGAACAGTTGCTGAATTCACTAGAAGAGCATGAGGTTTGCCAGGAACTTTTTTGCTCTCTCCCTTCTCCAGAAATCTGCTTCTATATACATCAAACCCTGCAGCATCACTCTTTAAAATACAACTTCAAATCAGTATAACCAATAAAAAACAGTACATTATCAAAAAGATATGATTCATCACCTAAGTCAGTTTACTTCAATTTAGAATCTGAGTTTAGAATTTTACATGGACATATAAGAAAACACCACCACCACCACAAACCATTTCTGAAAAAAAAAAACCAAACCCAACCCAAATCTTATTTACTATTGCATAAAAACAAAATTAGAATTGAACTTTCCAAGTCTTTTTTTATTCACTTATATTTTCTTATTTTGCTCTCCATTTTAACACTGACTGACAAGACATGTTTGCTTGTCCAGTCTTATGTACTTCTATAAAAGACATTGTATCAAATCATGCAAAAGGGAAAGGAAAAAGCAAAAAGTCAATAAAACCCCAATAAAAACAAACTCTCCCACCTTCTAAGACTGTGAGAAAGGGTTACTTGAACAGCAGATTTGAGAGCACAGAGACAGCACAGGACTTCTACACATTAAAAGAATAATAGTCCCCCCTAACACTGTAATATCCATCCCACGGGTTTGCAAAAGTAACAGGAACAGCAACTGATAAATTTATAGTGGTCTTCTGAAGGTCTGCACCAGTCGTAGTTAGTCATGTGCAGAAAAGAACATTTCTAAGTTTGACAGCTCCTTATTAAAAAGTAGAACAGCGTTACTGGCAAAGGAAATTATCAACAGAAGCTCCCCATTTTCCCCTAGCTACAGTCTCTCTCCCAGGACACGTAGCCAACTGAGGACTGCTGGCCAACACAGTGTTTTCTGCTCTTCCATTTTCCACGTAATTTCACTCCCAATTTGAATCATGCCCCTGGTACATGGTGCCACTGCCCTGGCAATTAACCAGTTTGCAAGCGTTAAGATGGTATTGGTTTATCACCAGCTCAGACTGAAATTAGAGGGCGACATCAGGCACCAGACACTGCATAGCTAAAAGTTTATATATTCTGCATGTACGGTAGATACTGAAGTTGAAAATCTGCATGACCACAATGCAGAAATATCATTAAGGTGAATTTTCATACTTGCCTGTTTACGAGATCTCATTGCTGCCTCTTCTAATGTTTCAGCAGCTTCAAATTTGCCTTGTCGTCTGTAAAGTGCCCCAAGGTTCTTCAAGGTAGTTGTTACTGTTGGACTATTTAAAGAAAAAAAAAGTGTATATATATACACACATACACACACACACACATTAAACTCTTTTCAATTCACAAACTAATAAAAACTTAATATAGTATCATTTTTTTTGTAATTATTTAGTCTCTCTTGAAATACAATATACTGTACTTCATGTACATGGAAAAACCTGTTAACCCCTTTCAATGTGCATTAACGGCTCACACTATGATTATTCAGCAGCCCTGAAACTGGAAGTTAGTAACTAGCCTCTAGATCTACTCAAGAGAAAACTGAAGTGCTACATCCTTGTGTTTCTCAGACGCATCTCAAGGTGAAAATTTAGCTCAATCCGAGTGTGTCCAACTGAATAATTGTGAAGCTTCCAGAAAATACGCCTACTCATGCACACAGTGACCATTACTGTAGCATGTGTTAGTCACAAAACAAATCACCAGTTCCTTTCATCAGCTTTTACTTAGTACCTATTTGCAGTTTCTATGCATTCAAACTACGCTTGAACAAAAAATGGAAGGGGGAGGTGGGGAAAAAAGCACATTCCATTAACAAGTCTTACACTCCAATAAGACATTTTTGTTTCAATGACACAATGAGAATTAGCCGAGTCACAGATTTGTCCCTTGAAGTTTTTCTCCAGTAACAGCAAAGATTTGCTCATGCATAAGAATGAACTAGTACATGAAAAACAAACCAACAAGATGTATTGCACCCAGAGTTCAGGATGGAGAAAAAAGAGCAGATTTCAACAATACAAAGGTTCTGTTCCTTGTTAAATATAAGAATTCAAACACTGAAGAAATGAAAAACCCTCACTGAACATTATCAGTACTAGATGCAGGTTTTTTCTTATATTGTACCACCTGCACGTTAAAAAAAAAAGGCAGTTAAGGAACAAAATTAAAGCAAACAAAAAAAATATTTCACCAAGTATAACCCAAGCTGAAGTCCTTGTTTCTCTTCTTCCATTTTAAGGCACATTTTCATTCACACAAAACTATATTCTTCAAGCTTTAGAAACTCAAATAATGCAGAATTGTGGCAGTTTAACTTTTTTTCTTGTGCCAGCTAGAAAACTCAAGGCTCAATTATTTGCACAGTCTGGCCCTTTTTGCTTCTGGCCCTCTTAGAGGTCTTGCTGGAGCAGGGAGAGCACGTATGCCAACCAACAGTATAAAAAGAAAGAAAGGTGACCTATGCTTCCACATGAAGAACTGCCAACCACACAAGTGGTAAATTTTTATGTCACTTAGTAGATCTAACCAGCCTAAATTAAAAGCAGCCCCGGGACTTGAAAACTGCTACTGTGTTCCTGAAAGCCAGTCCTGGGTTTCTGAATTTTTAATAGTTTTTATATTCTTAGGCAAGCAGCTGGTTTTGTTTCATTTTTAAACATGTTTTAATCTGACATTTCTGGATACTGGGTATTGCTGCGTTGTTTGTCCTATAAAAAAATTACCCACCTGTCGACTTTGCAAGCTTTGTACCAGCCACCATATTCTCCAAAAGATGTGCCATCTTTTTGCTTTCCCTAAAACAAAAGTACCATTGAAGAAAAATAACTGATTTGTAACTTAAATGGTAAAAGCTCAAAAAAAGATTTATGACAATGGCCTTACTTTGCATTCTTCCCTCTCTTCCGCATGCATCCAAATAGGCTTATTTTCATCTGATGAAACAGAAGAAAATATTTTACAGAAGTACAAAACTACAAAGTATTCACTGTTTGATTTTCACCCTTCTGAAATGAAGTTGTGAACCAGAGACTTATACTACTACCACGACAAAAAAGCTTACTGTCCATACTACAAACAGCAGATAAATAAAACATGCACCTCTTCTTTTACAGTTTTACAATTCTTTTTTTCTTATCTGAACTTAGAAACAGATACTTCTGAGAAGCTTTGAAGGAAGTCAGTATATGCTGCCATCGATTTGTCATGTGCCTAGTTCTGTGCTAGAAAACATGCATTTATTTCTTTTATCGCAACAACTGTTTTGGTATCTATTAAGTGGTGCATATGCTACTGTCGTGGAATGCAATGAAAATTCTTCACTGTGATTTATATTGATAAAACGCATTTGACTTCAATTCAGTGTAATTCACAATTTAAGGGTATTTTCCCCATACTTTAAATGTATTAATGGAGGACTCACGTTAACAATATATTTACTATATCATTAAAAATCCTGCACTGACTTTTTCCTGTGACTGGAAAGTGACATACATTTTTCTGCCTCTATAAAAATACCAAAACTGGCTTTGGTTGGGCATAAGATAAATTATGCCAGAATACAAACCATAAAACATAAGCCTACCAAGTCTACCTCACGTAAGAAAAACTCTCCTTTTGAATATGTTACTGCTAAATCTAAATGCTTTCTTATGATGAATGTACTTCAATGCATATATAATCTCACTTTTTAAGTCTACCTCAGGCAGACAACAATTTTAATCAGGATACAATTAACTTCCTGTAGATTTTACTTCATAACTACTACAAAAATGAAACATACATTCTAAGGGACTAAGTTTCTTACCATCCACAGAGCCAAACTCCCGTTCATGAGCGCGAGTAAGAATCTCTTTGTATAAGGTTTCCGCTTGCTTAAATTTGCCCTGTTTTAGATAGCAGGATGCCTGAAAACAAAATACCCCCCAAAAGATGTATCAGCACGCTTGTTTGATTTAGCTTGATAAATAACAAATACAATACATGCTGAATAAAGGTGCATTTCAATCCATCAGAAAATTTTACTTGTTCTTAGATTTACTTTATAAAAGGCTTACCAGGTTATTTTTTGTTTTCGCAACATTTGGATCATCTGGTCCCAGCTTAGTTTGGTAAATCTCCAGTGCCCTCTGATAGTAGTATTCAACCTCCTCATATTTACCCTGGTTCTGGCACAGTAAAGCCAAGTTGTTTAGCTGTTTGGCAACATCAGGGTGATCTTTCCCCAGAACCTGAAAATGAAACACCTTGTATTAAAACATTCTCCAATCATCATATCAGGGTTTAGAAATGCATCATTTAGAAACACCCTGTTAGTTTTTATTCCTCACCAATTTAACACGAGGATGACAAAAGCAAAATTTGCATTTGAAAGATATGAAAGTTACTCAATTCTATTACAAACTGAGAATGCTGCAGAACAATTCATAACAGGAATAATGTAAGTAGTATAAGAACATTATATGCAGCGTATTATACAAAGAAGCCTGAAGATGCAGGCATTCAGTCTCGTAGACTAGAATAAATATCCATATAGTCACAGAATAATCAACTTAAAAATTTTCATGATGTTTCATTTTTAATTCCAATGCTCTTGTCAAATCAAAGATTACTTAACTATCAAAGGGGAAAGAAAAAGGTAAAGAAGGTTAAGTACAAAATGCAGAATTTAGAATATACCCAGAGTGCTCCAACAGCTCCATAGGACTACTGGAATTTACTACTGTTTTGAATTTCAGACACTGCTAACTACTAAGGCATTGCTAACTCTGTGGTTTATCTGGCAGATCTACCCAACCGAAACGTAAAAAAAAAGTTAAGTATGTTTTAACTTTGCCCCCTCCCTCAAAAAATCCATTCAATCCATGCTGTATTATTTTACTCATACCTTTTCTCTGATTTCCAAAGCCCGCTTACACAACGGTTCAGCTTCTTTGTACTTTCCCCGTTTACCATAAAGTACTGCAAGATTGTTTAGAGTTGCTGCCACCTGTCAACAGTAGAGAAATATTAATTATACTGGAATTTGCTGATACAAATATCTGAAAAATGAACACATCTGCAATGCATTGATGTTTTCGAATTTTCCATGCACAGGGCAGACCTATTGAAATTTGCAAATGAAGAAATAATTATTATTGAATGCATACATACACAAATGAAGAAAGGAAAAAAACAGAAATCATGAAATACTTTTGCTTCATTTGTGGAAATGTTATTTAGTGCACACATTTTCTTCATACGTTCTTGTCTTACAAAGTTACCTCTCACATCTCAGAGCTGCCCTGCTTCTTCACACAGGCTACATGAAGTGAGATATCACATTAATTTTAAACACTAAATACAAAAGTTTGATTTATGTTTCATTTAAAAGCAGCAGTAAAACAAATTAGAAGTACACCTTCAATCTGAGTTTAGTAAAGTGATTTGAGTAAGCAAATTAAAATCTTTCTTCCCAAATTAATTTTCCACAGGAAATCCATGCAATCCGAAATCAAGCAAGTCATTTGTGATGAAACACCACTGAATATAATGCTCAAAAGGTACATTAAACATTTAAGAGAAAACAAAGAATGTTACATTGCAGCCTCCTACCTGTACTGTTTAGAGATAAGCCAGGTCTTAAAAACTTTCCTGTTGAGTTTAACATTAGAATGAGTTGAAAAAAATTCAGTGAAAAACACAACTAAGAATATGACATTGCATGTATACAAACCGCTGGATGATCTTTGCCCAAAGTTTTTTCGCGGATAGCCAAGGCATCATTCAGGAGATTTGCTGCATCTTTGTATTTGTTCTGGTCTCTAAAATTTTAAAGAGTCATAATTAATACTGGGGATTCAAAAAAGAAAGTCATAAAAATGAAACTGACTTCAGCACTGGCCTAAAAATGCTAGTACAAAAGAAGAGCAATTGAGAATGTATTCAGAAATCAGGAAGTAAAAACCTGAAGCCTGTAGCTGTAAAGTAGTTTGCTGGTTGAAGACTAGCATGTACTAAGTCTACACTGCTGTTCAATTTATCTAGATTATTGTAAGTGGGTAGAGATTATCTGTAAGTGGGTAATCAAGACATGCCCTTTGGTAGACAAAAACAAACCCCAAAACCAAAAAGTATCAAAACCGGCTTCGCTCCCAAAACAAAAGCACAGGCAAAAATGCAGAAACTTGTTTGACTTTTAAGTATAGGGAGACATAAAAACACTGCAGGACCCTCTTGAAGGTTTTAATAAGAAACACGGAATGGAAAATAATACAACAGTCAAAAAATGTTAGTCTGAACATTAGCAGGTTGTAGCCAAATATTAACTATTTATTTAACTAATATTTATCTATGTCAGTATACAAACCTGTACACCAAAGCAAGTATGTTCAACATAGTGGCAACATCCGGATGATCATGACCCGAAGTCTTCTCTAGATCTTCAAGAGCTTGTTTACAGAGAGGTACAGCAACCTCATATCTACCTTGGGAAGCGTACTGAATAACAAGATTATGAAGGGTCCTTAATCTTGCTGGAATTTCATAGCCACCTTGTTGGGCAGCAGCTGCTGCACTGCTATGCTGCTGTTGAACTGAAAGAAATCCACAAGATTTCAAGTTGTTTAAAACATGACTGTAACTAAAACATCTAACATTACTGCTCAATGACACAAAATGAGACTCACTGAATTTTACTTCTTCAATACAAAGCATTAGTACTAAAACATATTTCACAGCAGTCATGCTGTCTTGAAGAGCGATGGTGAAAACATGACCATTTTATTCTTCATACTCTGTCCAGTATTGTATTAATATTATTTTACACTTCTGTTAGTTCCAAGGGCCAAATGTAATAAACCAATGGACAAAGTAGGAAACTATTTCAGCTCAGCAAATCACTAACAATTCTCAAGATTATATCATAATTTGGCACTTACAAATATCG